ATGCGAAAACAAGGTCAAACACAATTTTGTTTCATTGAAAATCCCATCACATCATGTGATATGGGAAGATGCCTGGCCTTGCTTGAAATTCACATTTTTCCTATGAACAAATGGCACTTGTGGCAGAGTGGCGTGGGGCTTAGCTTGTCGAGACTTCTCGATATACTACCCGAATTTGAGTCACGCTGGGGGTGCTGAGGAGACTTAGGCGAGGTCGAAATCGAAGTCCACTCCAGTCGGGATGAGAACACCTTTTGGGAAGCAGGACTGTGCAAAACTCAACGGAAACGTAAGACCTACTCATATGATTATGGAAAAATTCAACTACCATTTCTTCACCTCATTAAACGAAATAGGGTGACACATTTCATATATATGTCGCCTTTAGTGTTTCAAAGACTGGTTGTCGAGTTCCTTCTACAGTAATCACTGATAGCCGTTAAGGTCTAATTATATCAAAAATAAGTGACGTCGTCGATTTAAATGATAGACACATGCTTGTTCAATCAACATTTTCACCGTTAAAATGTGGGTCTGGGGAGCTTGTCTTGCCTGGAATGTCGTATCCGCGATATTCTGGTGTGGAGTGATACCGTTGTCACGATACTTGCGAGCCATTATGGAATCCCGTTGGTGGTGCTGATGCGACCAGTTCAGGCAAGGTCGGAATTGAAGTCCACCCTGAATTAGATAGCCTTTCCGGAGGCGAGGCCAGGTGAAATTCACCGGCACCCTCAGGTCTAATAATTGTATTGTTCTTATTCTCTAAAGTTACTCACATCAGAGATGATGTAGAGCAAATCAGGTTGCATGCACCTTAACAGGCTTCTTCTTGACAGGTTAAGAATGATGGCGTGATGAAGGCGTGTCAGCTGTCCGATCGGGTGGAAGAGCTGGAACAGGAGGTGGAGAAGTACCGGATTCTGGCGGGCATTGAACGTCTCACAAAGGCCTCCTGGAACGACGGCAATACACTCGCATCCGCCGAGCACTCAACACCTTCGTCTGGGCCCAGTCATTCAGCCGCCGGTGGCACCAGTGACGTCTCCGAGGCGCCGAGCCAGGCCGACCGAGTGGCCACGGCTCCGAGGCTGAACTTGGCCGTCTTCGAGGAGCGGCGAGGGCGAGGGCGAGGAACCAAGTCGGTGGTGGAAGTCCACCACGGCGTGGTCAACGCCGATGGTTGGGAGCCTGGCTTGCGACGCTCGTCGAGTCCGGCCGCCTCGAGACGCTTTGAGAGCGCCAGTGAGCCGCCGGCGAGAGCGAGGCTTCTAGAGAGGGTTGGAGGCGAGACGAAAAAGAAGACGGCGCCGGAGGAGGAGCCGAGCGAAGAGGCGAAGGAGATGCAGGAGACCGGGGCCGGTGCGGACGGGCTGGTAGGAGCCCCGGGCCGGCCGGGCTGTCGCCGACTGGCCGGCCTCGGATCGCACGCCCTTGATGCGGCCGGTGGTTTGAGGCCCGAGGCCGGCTCCCCGACGACCTGGGCTGCGCCGCACCACTTCTACCATCGTGGCGGCCTGCGCGACAGTCTGTCGGCCGCCTCGTGGCTCACAGAAGCGCCCGGTTCGAGTCCCGCCGCGGCCGATGACGACGGCGACGGCGACGCCGAGGCCGAGCTGGAGGCCAAAGAGGAGGCACCCGCGGCGCCACGCCGCCAGGGCCGGACGTTGAGCGTCGACGTGTCGCCGGGCCTCGGTCTGCCACCGCAGGCCGTCCACCACCGACAGTCGCAGACCGGCCCTCTCTGGCCCCAACAGTCGCAGCATGCGGCTCGCGGCCACATGTTGTCCGGCCGGCCGCGTCAGCTTGCCAGGCAGGAGCGCACCATGTTGCGCAGTCGGGCGGCCGGGAGTGAGGAGAAGCGGCAGGCCGGGGACTCGGGCTTTTGCAGCATCTCACAGACTAGCAGTCAACGCAGCAGCCTCTTCGGGATTGACCCGGCCCTCGGACAGATGATGGATGGGTAAGCCGTCCACTTGGCAAAATGGCATTCCAAGGCCTACTCACCTACAGCATATAAGTAGTAGTCAAACTGGAAAGTTGACCTTTTCTGACAATCCCACTCCAAATGGAGATGACAGAGGAGAGGTTTGGCTTACTCACAGATTCGCATACTTTGAACTCGTGGCAATTTGCCCTAGTGGTATCATGTCAAAATTATATTCTGTGCAACACATTGGTAAGTAAGTTTTCGAGACTTTCATTAGATCATATATATGAGGTATATTCACCATATTTCGAGGCCTTCCAGCCTAAATGTTAAATTCAATGGAAACATAATTTCTACTCATCTGATTGTGGAAAAATTCAGCTATCAGTCTTCTTATCATCTTAAACGAAATAGGGTAAATACATCTCATGTATTCGCTCTACTGGTAGTCTCAAAAACCTGCTTATAACTTAAAAATAAGTAGTGTATCCTATTATTATAGCAATTACAATATTGACCAATCTAAAATTCCACCACAAATTATGATATAAGAAAATGCCTGGCCTTCTTTGAAATGCGCATCCGCTCTGTGACCCAAAGGCAATTGTGGTGATTTGGTGAATTGATTAACGTTTCGAGATTACATACTCCGCATTACCACACCTCGGGTTCCAGTATTGCTGTGGGCGTGGATGAGACAATGAAGCGAGATCGTATCTGCAGTCCACTCCAGCCTGGATGAGAATACCTTTCGGGAAGCAAGGCCAAGTGAAATTCAATTCACTTCATAGCATTGTGGGAAAATTCAACTATCCCTTTTTAATTAAATTATGCAACCAACGGTGGCGGGAACTCATGTTCGCTTAAGGTGGCCTAAAGACTGTTAATGGACATCTCCCAAACTCCTAGGCATGAGACTTCCCGATCGCCTTAAATGTCAGCATCAGTCCATCATGGATGAGGCAAAGCTTAGCAAAATTCACTGCAATCGTGAGAAAAACTAACTCTTTTTTAAATAGAAGTGGGTTAACCTCGTTGTCGCAACTTGGTCTTGTTGTCAGGGCGACTTATTAGAACGCATCTAGTCCGAAATCGTCCGCCATAGTAGTTGTCATGATTCCCAGCATCAGACAGTGGACTTGGTACATTCTCAAAGGTTTCGCCGGCATCGTATCGGCATCATCAGTGAGTTTTGCCATTCGCCACACCAAGTTACGAACCCGTCAAAGAGACAAGTTTAAGAATGTACTAAGTCCACTGTCGGATGCTGGGAATCATGACAACTACTATGGCAGACGACTTCAGACTAGGTGCGTTATACTAAGTCCCCCTGACAACAAGACCAAGTTGCGACAACGAGGTCAACCCACTTCTATAAATCGAAAGGGGA